CCAACCCCGAACGTTCTGTGATTCTGTGAAATAAAATGGTGCCGCTATGCCTATTTTGCATCACACAAGGTAACAAACAACCGCATCAATACAGTCTTTTCTGATTAAAACCAAAGCTCTTTAGACCATGCCTGGAAGACCTTGACGAAGCGTTCCTTCTCCACGGTCGGAATGCTTCACAATTCTCTCATCCCCAGTTCCAATACTGAGATTTAATACTAAAAGCAGTGCCGCAGCAGTGAGCTGGTCAGCCAGCCACGAATTGGTGTCCAAATGGTCGTTGGAAATGCCAAATCTGCTGTAGGCATGCTGGTACATTGCAGGGTGTGTCACTAATCCTGGACAATTCACAGATTGCCTGTGAGTCTGCAATAGATCAAAATTTGTTATTTGTGTATCATGCATTAAAAAAGGCAGGAGGAGGCTTATTGTGTCTAAACAACATGATTTGCTTTACTGAAGCAAAAATGTTTGTCATCTATAAGTAAGATAATCATTCGGTGGAGCCATTGTGATGCGATTTTACAGCAGGATTGAGAGCCAGTTTTATTGATCGTTGCGCATCGATTGTGTACAAACCATCACCCAATCAGATTTATGACTCTTCTACATCAGTACATATGGAATGTTGTTCTGTACCGTTGCATATTTATTTTAGTTGTTGAATCAAGCTAGTATTAGAACAAACTCAAATTACTGAAAATGATCAACCCATTCATTTCTGATCAAAAAGCTAGCTGAGGGGTTTAGACTTTTTAAAAACCAGATCAAGATTCGTTCTCTTTTCTGAACGTTAGATTTTGCAGAAAGAAAAGAAAATCTCCACTTGAGGGAAAAACATCTTTTGGCACTACAGAATTCACTTAGAAGTTTCAGCTTTCCATCCTTGAGAAGAGCTGGTAGAGTTGGCTATGGAAGTTGCTTTGCTTCCATAGGCTTTTTGCATGCTCTGTTTCATTTGCCTTCCTAAGGACTCAGCGCAGAACATCTTGCTTTCTCCAAGTCAGACAATCATCCCAAAATCCTAAGGAAATGGACTTCTCTGGCTGTGTGTTAGGAAAGAGAGCGAATGCAACTGTATCCTACCTCAGGCAGACAGAATTCAACACTTCCTCGAATTTGGATGATGCTTCTCTCTACTTTTTGCTGGAGGAATGGTCTCTCAACTCACCAGGCAGGAGCATGAAGATGTTTTTAATCCCTCCAGTTGTCTGCCTCGTGGCAGGTGTCCTCATCATTCCTACCATCCTGTTTGCCATCTTCTCCAGGTTTCGCATCCGTCAAGAAACAAGGTACCTGCTGCTGGGAAATGCTCTGCTTTCTGATCTCATCTACCTGCTGTTCTACACCCTGTCAGCTGCTCTCAATGCAGCGCACATCCATCTCCCGAAAGAAGCTTGTGTCCTCCTGTTATTTCTGCTGGCAGCGGCTTGCTGCGGGGGGTTGTTCACGGCTGCTGCGATAGTCTTGGACACATACATAGCTATTTCGTTTCCTCTGCGCTACATTGCCATTTTGCCTCCTTCGCGAACGAAGAAGATTATTGTGTTACTGTGGGTGTGTTCTGGGGCTTTCCCTGGGATTTTCTTCTTGGTGCTATCGACCACCCACAGCTTTGTGCCCTGTGTCCTGGAAACATGCTCGGTTCCGGTAATACTAATGTTAACTCTCAATGGGACTGATGCTGTGAAGCTCTGTTTCTGGCTTTCTGCCGTGGTTGTCTTTATCTGCTTGTCTCTAATATTTTGTTGCTATGCTGTTCTGTACTTTAAAACCAAACAATCAGGTATATGGGAGAGCATCTGCTCCAGAGCCAGTGTAACATTCTTAATGCACAACACTGTGTTATTTTTTTACTTCTTTCCACTCTTGGCCCTTTTTGTAGAATCGTTCTTGTGCATTCAAGTTGTCATCGGACCACAGACAGGAATCTGGGTCTCCATGACAGTCTGCAATGTCCTGATGATTCTGCCTAAAGTTCTGTTCCCTTTTCTGTATGGGCTTCGATACAGAGAGATCTCAGCATCTCTCAAATCCATTGTCAAAAGGAAGCATCCTCACCTGGTATCCCCTGCTCCGTCACCGTCCTGAGCCGAAACAGAGCACAGCCCCAGCAGAGGAGTTCTCCTTACCTTGTTCAAATGCAAGCTTGATGGAAATCACTCAGCTTCTGAAGAAGAAGCGATCAACCCATGTCAGAAAAGACACAGACTCTGGCAAAGAAGACATGGGTTGATCACTCGGCCTCCCTGGTGCCAGAAAGCCACAGATCTTTCATCACATCACAGCTGAGAACACAGCAAATCCTGCCCTGAATGAAGTTCTAAGCGTTGTTCCAATGTGGAAAGGCAGCAACTTTTGAAGGAGTTATTGAATAAGATCTTTTTCACCCAACTGCAGTAGATTCCTTTCTGGAAAATAGAAAATGAAAAACAGATAGTGCAAAGCAAAGGAGGTGACCACGGGTCCCTTGCCAGCATCACCTAGAGCGGAGAGGAGCCTTAACCAAACGTGCTGTGAACAAGGACAGCTCTATCTTTCACTCACATTGTATTTTTGCAGCGTTGGCAGCCTGGATTCTGCCTGACAATCTGCAAAACACTGACTTGTTATAAAATCCCAGTCTGATGGGAAGTCCCCTTCGATCGGCGTCTCCTGGGCCGCCTGGCGCATGACGCTGTCAGGGAGTGACCGAGGCAGACAGGCCGCTCAGCGGGGGAAAACGAGCTGGGAGCAGGGGGTGACTGTGCCTCTCTGTGGGGTGCAGTCCCACTGTCCCTGTGCCAGCTGAGCCAAGGGGTGGCTGTGGGCAGCTGGGATCAGCCCAGAGCCCCAATTCCCTCCTGGGTCCATCTGATGTGACCAGGCCAAGGCAGGGCAGGAGCAGCGAGGTGTGAGCCTGGGCACGGGCGTACGCAGAGCACAGCTCGGACATCAGCCCCCAGGGTGAGGGGCTGGGCGTAAACACTGCTGCTGAGTCCCTGCTGGGGCATCTCCCAGTTCTGGCTCACAAAAGTCTTCTCTCGCAGCCTGACCCCAGCTTACAGCTGCTCCGGGTCAGAGCAGGTGTTGGGTACCTGGTACCAAACCCCTAGGAAGGTCAGGAGGAGAGGTTGCAGAGCCCGTTGATGTACTCAGAGGCTAGAAAGATGCTATCCTGTCAGCACCTTTTAGGTTTTTCAGAGCAGCCAGCTACCTGTAGGAGATGAGTGAAGCATAGTTTTGGTCTTGAAAGAAACCACAGTTTCGTTAGACATAAACATTAGTGTGGGAAATCAAAAATTTCAGTGCCATTCCTTGGACTTGAGAAGAGAGCTTTTGTGTTTCTGAAGATAGTATTTTTAGAATTCGTTGCTTTTTATAGAAAAATATGTTAGAATTTTAAAAAAACCCAAACCACACGTTAGAAAATGGCCCTTGCTTTCACTCTGTGAGATATTTTCCTTGTGTGCAATTCCCACCACCTTCTCTTTGCTTAAAGCAATGCACAGAGAGTGCTGAATGTGGCTTTTGGGTATTTCGCACTCATCTGAAGAATTCTACTGAGTGTGAGCCAGGAGGAGATCGGTGTCTGATTGCATGAGGTGGTTTTTGGCAATGAAGCCTGTCTGAGACATTCCT